ATGATTAAATTATAACCAACTCTATCTTTTATGAGTTAAGGTATAACCTTCCTCAATAATACAAGAATGAAATTAAGGAAAGCTAGAAAGCCCTTATAAGGCTAATAAGCTTTTATGAGTATAGCGATTTTTAAAGGTAATAAATGAGGATTGAAGAAATAAATGGCTCAACACTCTATTACAATAATCATTGGATTTTGAAGTTGCTTTCTTGTTGAAATATGATTTCCAAAGTCTTATTACTTCATAAATGAGGTGGGAAGCTTCATTTTATACTAAAGAGATCTTTTGGAGCCATTGCTAAGCATTAAACGCAAAAACTACTCATTATTTTTTTGGAAAGATGCAAAAATTACTCATTATAACTGTCCTTTTCACATCTATCAAGCCTTAAGTATTGATACTTGCTGTCAAAATCTTGATACTTTTTTTTTTTTTTGGGGTTGGAGCAGGTATCGAGTCTTTTTTTTTATAGGTAACAATACTTACCTAGCGGCATGTCTCTCTGTTTGAATGTGGTATCAAGACTTCCACAGTGAATCTGTTTCAAAGTCTCGATACACTTTCTTTGTGACTCGATGCGCTTTCCTTGTGCCTTGATACTTTTGTCCCTAAATTTCAATTTTTTGCTTTTGAGTTGAGAAGTCTCAAAACTTATGAACTAAGTCTCAATACCTTTGACTGAGAGCCTCAATATTCTGCTTTCTATTGGCAAAGTATTAAGACTTCAAGAGAAGGTCTCAATACTTAAGCTAAAGTACTTGTTTTTGAGCCATTTTGAGCTTTTACTTTGCTCAAACATTAAATCATTTTCATTTTATCATCCAAGAGGTTTTTTAGGCACATCAAGGTCTTGATTTTGCAATTTTAATAATTTGTTTTAATCATTTCAAAACAAGATCAATTATAAAACCAACAATCTCTCTCTTTTTAATATGACAAAACTAGTGAATAAATTTACAAATCTTAAATTAAAATTCTCTTTAAGTATACGAGTTTACATCTTTTGCCAAGGTTGAAAAGATATTTTTGAGTTCAAAAACATCATTTTTTAAAGCAATAAAACTCTGACAAATTTCTTGAAAGTATTCTCTCCATTTTTGTTATATAAACAAGAATGGCATAATATCAACGGCGAAGCCTTGCATAGTCCCTCAAAATTTTTAAAATCTTGTTTATATTATATATTTTTTTGTCTTTCTTAAGGTATATATTTTTTGCTTAGTAGTCTTCTTAAAAATTTTTAACTCTTAATCCTTTTTGTCTTTGACTCCTTTAACTAAAGTTGACTAGTTTCGTTCTTGCATAATATAATATTTAAATATAAAAATATTAAGGTAAATTTATAAGAAACAATGTAAAAAAATCATAAAGTTGAAATATGTATTTTTAAAATATTAACATAAATGTGAAATAGTTATCCTAATAAGTCAATTTAGATAGAATATATATATATTAGTGAAAATTAATTATTTACAGTTATGTTCTTGAGTAAAAAATACTTAACCATTTATAAATGTATAAGAAGAAAAATAAAAACACTTGTAGTAAACATTAGTCATTTAAAAATCTTAATGTAAATTTATAAAAATGAAAATAAAAAATTATAAAGTTAAAATAAGTATTGTTAAAATATTGATGTAAAGATTGAAGAGTTATCATAACAAATCAATTTAGATAGAATAAATGTACTTTTAGTGAAAATTAATCATTGACATTTATATTCTCGAGTAAAAAATATTTAACTTTTTACAAATTTTAATTTTTAAATGTATAATAATAAAGATAAAAATAATTTTAAAAAATAAAAAAAATATTTATAATGAAAATTAACTATTTAAAAATCTTGACCTAAATTTATAAGAATAAATGTAAAAAATTATGAAGTTAAAATAAGAATTATTAAAATATTAAGATAAATGTGTGAAAGTTATTATAACAAATCAACTTAAACAAAGTAAACATACTTTTAGTAAAAATTAATCATTTACAAATATTAAGGTACTATAATAACAATAAAAATACTTAGTGAAAATTAATCCTAAAAATCTTAACATAAATTCTCATTTTTTATATATTAACTTTAAATGTTAATATTTTTTGTAATTATATAATTATAATTATAAGTTTAAATGTTATTTTATTTTGTATCTTTAAATTATAATATAATATTTAAATATTTGATAATAATGAGTTTAACTTAATTAAATTAGTTAGATATAATATTTTAATATAAAAATAATATTTTAATATAAAAAATGAATAAACATAAAAATTAACATAAAATACAATTAAAAATTAATCATGCAGTTTACCTGTGACCTGAATAACAGTTTATTATTATTATTTTTAAATTATATTATTGACCGCGCTCACCTTATATAAGACAGTGTAATGTCACCAAGAGAAGTGTCCAAATGGGCGTTGGCCATTCCTCCGTTTCACTTTCTCTCGACCCAATTTCTATCGCTGCTTTTACAGCAAAACCAAAACCAAAAACAAGCTGCTTTGTCAATACCCACTGCAGAAGGTCTGTCTTTCCCACAAAAAGGGTCTCACTTTTTGTTGATTTTAGTCTAAAATTCGAAAGTTTGAAGTGCGGGACTGTAGCAGGGGAGATGGATACCGAAAAGGGGATTGATGTGGCAAACAAATCCATTCTTGATTTTCATGATATTGATGAAAGGTTGATTCGGAAGATGGAATTTGATGCCCTTGTTTGGAGTTCTCTTCACGGTCTTGTTGTCGGGGATAGAAATTTTCAGGTTTTTCAGTAAAGTTTATTTATTTATTTTTTCAACTTTTTCAGAAAAAAATTATTTATTTATTTTCCCAATGAGATGTAGCATCCATTTATGTTAATATTTTTATGGTAAACTGGAAAAACTATAGAAGGAATTGGATTAAAACAATTTACTTCTGATGTTAGCATTTTCTGATGCTTGTGTTCGGCGAAAGAGAAGCCGAAATTTGAACTTACATTGCATAAATTGTTCGCTTTTTGGTTTTCGGAAACCGTTTGCTCTTCAACTGTTAAATATACCAAACATGATCATAGCGGAATCATCTTTGTGCTGTAATATTTGTTAGTTCATACTTGATTCCATGTACTCTGCTAAGACTTTATTCATTGAATTTTGTTTGCAATTTTGTTACCATCCCTTAATGTCAATTTTTAGTCTGGTGTAGAAAGTAAGTTATGAAATTAGCCCTCAATGTAAATTTGTGACCTATGTTAATTTTTGAGCTTGAATTTGATGCGGGTCTATCTACTTACAGAGATCTGGTCAAGTACCTGGTGTGGGCATGGTCCATGCTCCAATTGCTTTGTTGCCCATGTCGTTTCCAAAATCTCATTGGAAGCAAGCATGTGAACTAGCTCCAATTTTCAACGAATTAATCGATCGTATAAGTCTAGATGGAAAGTTTCTGCAAGACTCACTATCAAGGTACTCTTTCCACCAATGATTACGCGGTTGTGTATGTATTTTGTTCTAATAATTGCAAGTGATATGCCATTGTCTGAACCATTTGGCTTGGACATATTAAACATGTTCCAATTTATCCTATGAGAATACCATTTGCGGTAAACTGACATTGTGAATCCTTCACATTTCAGGACAAAAAAAGTAGATGCTTTTACCTCTAGACTTTTAGATATTCATTCCAAGATGTTAGAAATGAACAAGAAAGAGGTAAGTGGGTATTGATTACAAATATTTGGTCTTTAATAATATTGAGAGGATTTACTTTTTTAAGGAAGTGGAGTGTTTTAATATTGAGATGTACTTCTAGATTCTCTGTCCTCCTACCTTTTGTTTTTCATGCTCTTTGTCACTTTGTTAACTAATGTTTATTGTCCATTTTTGGATACCTGTCAATTAAGTTCCATTCATCATTAAAAAGAAGAGAAAGATCTACTAGATCATTTATCAGTCTTTCCCAAGTGTATGAAAGTGTTCTTCAGAATGCTGTTGAAGATTTGGTGTCCATATGTTTCCTATTAGAGGAAACAAGTATTATAAGGCCCATAATTAGTTAACCTATTCAATTGTTTTGGTGTATTTGACAATCATTTGCTCTAAACATGAAAAAAAAAACCCTTGTTTTCATCGCATGAAAGCATCTAATGATATGCAGTTTTTGGAATGGGAAATACGCTTGAGTTTACCTTGATCAGATTAGGGTTTTCATTAAATGAAAGAATCTAATCATATGCCGTTTTTGGAACAGGAAATACGCTTGGGTTTACATCGATCAGATTACATGCTTGATGAGGAAACTAAGTTATTCCTCCAAATAGAGTTGAACACAATTTCATCTTCATTTCCTGGTCTTGGTTGTCTTGTCACCGAGCTTCACAGGTTGTGTAAATAAGCATTTTGACTTAGTATCTTCAGCATAAAATTATTCTTAATTCTGTAAATTTGAAAATTGCCATGTTGGAATTTGAATGTTGAATAAAGCTTATTGAAAAAATCCTTCAAATTGTTTGTGTTTGTTCTTGTCACTTTGGCATTGGGTTTAATTTTTAGCAATAAGGTGACTGCAGTGTTCTTTTGAACATGTGGAAAGAAGCTGCGAAGCATAGAGATACGATATCTTATTCTCAAGGTTCTTTGTTAGGATATTTACTTCAGTTCTGATGAACTACTAAAGAAATTTTAATCAGCCTATATTTTATTGCTAGTTCAAAATGAAAAAGAGTTGAAATAACCGCTGTAAGCACAACACTTTTTATTCTTTTGCAATGTTGGATCTGCTTAATGCCGCTAATATTATAAATACAGCATGAAGGAATAGGTGATACATTATGTAGGGTCCACTTCTACAGAAAGCTTGGATAGTTTTTTGAATTCTGATGGACTGTTCAGCAAACAGAATTTTCAAAAAGTTTCTTAACCAGAGCTAGTCATTTTGCAGGACCCTACTTAATGAGTATGGAGAAGACCTTGGATTAGATTCTAAAAAGATTCCTAGCAACACTGCAGTTGGTCAGTTTTCTGAGGCATTGGCTAAAGCTTGGACTGAGTATAATAACCCCAGGTTAACTTTGAAAGGATATGCCCTCTTGCAATATTTGAAGTCATTTAAGGGTGTTATAATTTCTTTCTTGGGTACAGGGCTGTAGTTTTGGTTGTTGTTCAAACTGAAGAACGCAATATGTATGACCAGCATTGGCTATGTACAATGTTGAAGGAAAGATATCCTTTTTAACTTTTATACCTATTGCTTGAAGAAAAATGGTATGAAATCTGCTTTTAGTAAAGTAAAAGTATTTAAATGTATTTGAAGTTAGAAAGCTTGGATCCAGAGCTCGCCTGGCATTGTATTCCTTAGCTTCATAACACACATAATGTGAGAACCGTTAGGAAAACATTGGCTGAAATTGATAGAGAAGGCCAGCTTTTACCAGATGGCACACTTCTTGTGTAAGTAACTCCATACTGCACAAAATTGATTTTTCTACTCTAGATTGTGGCACTACCATGCCAAGCTTCTAGTTTTAATGTCTGAAATATGTCACTGCAGAGATGGCCAAGCAATTGCAGTCGTCTATTTTAGAGCAGGGTATGCACCGACTGATTATCCTTCAGAATCTGTAAGCAATTTAGCTTTATTTTTGTGCTACTTTTCAGAGATATGATTTTGACAGCTACTCTTCATGTTATTCTCGAAAAATTGGTGTTAAAAATATGATTTCGGTGGCTACTTCTGTTTTACTTTATTCTTCATGTCATTTTTAGAGTTACTTCTAATATATTCTTTATTATCAGGTACTCATCCTTGCTAATTACTACAACATTAGACTGATTTCTACCGTTTGTGCTTCTGATGTGTCTATGTTACATTTTCAATTTCTAGGAGTGGAGATCTAGGTTGCTAATGGAGCAGTCCTCAGCTATCAAGTGCCCATCAATATCATATCATTTGGCAGGAAGTAAGAAGATCCAACAAGAACTTGCAAAACCTAATATACTTGAGAGGTAATTAATTCTATATTTTTGTGTGAATAATAGTTTACCGCCAATGGCTAGAAGATGTCTTTAATTGTCAAAGGAATTTTTTTTTTTCCTTTTACATGAAAATTTCAAAACTTCTAAGAATTTACTACTTATTCAACCTCAGAAATGGCATACCAAATATTACGGAACTAGGATATTGAACTATTATAGAGCATGTTGATTTATTGGAATTGCAAGTATACTAGTCTAAATTTTTAGAGAACAACTATCATTACTCCAAGTTGTATGTCTTCCTTGAATTTTCCCTTCTCTTTCTCCATGCAAGCAGGTTCCTTGAGAACAAAGAGGATATTGTCAAACTGCAGAAATGTTTTGCCGGATTGTGGAGTTTGGATGACTTGGACATCATCAGAAAAGCAATAGATAAACCTGAGCTATTTGTCATGAAGCCCCAAAGAGAAGGAGGAGGTTCTATATCTTAAGACTTTAGTCTATCATTATTGTTCTTGGTTATATTTTTTAAGTTGAGAATTGAGTTTTTGATTCCACTTCAGGAAACAATATCTATGGTAATGATGTGAAGGAAACCCTTCTGCGATTACAAAAGGAAGGGTCTGAAGAAGATGCTGCTTATATACTTATGCAGAGGATTTTCCCGACTGTTTCTCCCACAATTTTGATGCGTGATGGCATTTGTCATAAAGAACATGCTATATCAGAGCTTGGTATATACAGTGCTTATTTAAGGTACATCTTGGTGTTTTTGCCTCATCGTGACTTTGGTCAATTTCATATAATACTATTAAATTTTCTTCATCACATGATCAATGGGAATCAAGGGGAAAGAAAAGGTTGAAATAATTCTGAAAATTGGTATTAAAATCATGCTAAAGCTTTACCCTTTTATTCTCACATTTCTCATTTTGGGATGCGATGGATAGTCACGAGACGAGCTTTCGCTTGCAGGAACAAGGAGAAGGTTATCATGAATGACCAATGTGGTTACTTGATGCGGACCAAGATAGCATCATCAAATGAAGGTGGGGTTGCAGCTGGATTTGCGGTCTTAGATAGCATATATCTGACTTGATGAACAAACTTCTTGATTACCGTCTACATGCGAATATTTATTGTTGATTTATGTAACTGACACACTTGACTCAGTTTGGCAAATCAATCAATGGTCCTCATCTCTAGAAACAACTTGAAGTGCTTTTGCAAGTCGTTACACCAATAAAATCCACGGATTTCGTTTTCTTTCCCTGTCGCTGGCAATATGGAAAAACAGGTCATCTTACAGCTAGTTTTTAGTCATCAGAAAACATCTTATTTGATTACATTATTAGTAATTTTTAATATTTTCTCTATAACTCATGTCTCTCACAGACCAACAAGACTATGTAGTCAATCTATGGCCCCGAGTTCTCACGTCTCTGTAGTACGGCTAAATCAAGATGTAGATTAGAGCTTTTCTTTTCTTTTCTTTTTTTAATTTATGTAATAAAAGATTAAAGCTTTTCAATATGGAAACTTAATATAATCTGTTCCCGAAATTCTACCCAATAAATTGGACACACCAAATGGGATGGTTTGGGAAACTGTGGCAGAGTAATGCTCCGTAACCAATTGGTAAAATTGATTCATCGAGACAAGTAGGAGAAGGTCAACTTAAGCATTTTTTTTTAACAAAAGAAATAACAATTTTATTGGCAGAAGTCTCTACACCAAGACTTCTATTGACATATAAACATCTGGCTTGTGCAAAGAAGAACTTGTACAATCACAGATCACATTGCCGCTCCAAAAAAGCTTGAGCTGTGCTACAAAAGCAATGCTCATCTACCTATATACACAAAAAAGAAAGAAAAACACAAAACAAAACAATAGGGAATGACCCTCTTCAGGAAGCAACAAAAACCAGGACATGCCAGCCACAATTCAACAGAAATTAGTATAAATCTAGTGCACACTTCCATTCATTCTTCTCTTGAGGATGCCTTTGAGACCCATAACTGTGTTTTGATTGATGCCATGAGTAACCATGTAACGTAGTTCTCAAATACTATCTCAATGTCCCCTCAATTGAGTCAACCAAAAAACTCAATTGCAAACTATGGCATTAATCAACTAGGAGGAGTTAACTGAACGCTTACGCTAGGAAACGAGCCAACAAAGAAAGGGAGTCCTTAAATTAGGAGCGCAACAAATAGTCAATCCAAGTAACTGAACCAAGTTCAAGTCAGAGTCGAGGTGTACAAAGTGTAACATAGTTTAATTTGGTTGAAAGTTAAATAGGAAATTTAAGTGCAATCCCTCAGGGAACATTTTCAATGTTGAGACAAGAAAATGCACCATCTAGCCAACAAACTATGGCACCATACAGTGGATTAGTCAAGGGGTGCAGGCTAACCAAAGGAATGGGACTTTACCAACATGTTAAGAACCTAATAGATCACATAATAGGATTTCAACGTGCATATCGTAACATTTTTGCATCAATTTTCCCAACAAATTATCCTAGCACGAGTAATAATCATAGTATTTATTCTTTTCCCCGTTGTTCCCCATAAAAGATGCTCAAGAATATAATGAGTTCAGTACAGTCTGGAAAACATCCAAATTGTTTCCATTGCTCTAGTTTGCTTAAATATTCAAACAGTTCTAAAATCATATGGCTATTGGAAAAGCCATAATTCTACTTTTTTTACAAGCACAAGAGGAAACATTTCTAATTAAAAGCCTAACTCAAAAGAATATATATCCACACTCATGTATCTACCCTTTTGCTATCTTTCCACCCAAGTTCATGGGCTCTTTTCTGCCACAAGGCTGTAAGCTTACGCTCCTCTCTTAGTTCTGCTTCAGCCTTTTCCCTGGATTCCTCACAAGTCCCCACTCCTGCATTGCATTTTTCTGCTTCTTTCTGGTAATGTGAGGAGGCTCTTTTGGTGTCAATTGTTAGTGCCCAGGTGTGCTTCAGGGTATCATTGCTTACTATCTTCTGTAAATTAATCTCCTCAGACAGTAAAGCAACAATATCCTTCTCTAGTTCTTCATTTACATCTGGATCATTTTTACCACAATCTGCATAATAAAGAAAATCATTTGAACAGACAGAGAGACTAGAATAAAAGGAATTTAACTCCGATGTATCAATCCCCAACTGCTAATGCTTCCAATGAGGCAGTGACTTGACTCTCTTTTGCTATGAAATTGAGGTCAAACAAAAGTTGAGTATGTGGTTTAGATGAACAGCTATTTTAAGTAAAGATTGGTTTTGAGGTTCTATGATAAACTTCAGTTTAACCTGTCCTGTCTAATGGGAACAACAAAAGGTTCTAGCAGGAGCTCAGGGTGAAATTTTCTTCAACTTCAGTGGTCTCAATTATCAAATCTACTAAACCCAGCCCCCATGCAGCAAGGAATTATAGCACCTAGAAAACTAAAGCAGAGGCAGATGAACTGACCTGAGTATGTGCTGTTGACTAATCCTGCAATAATCATGAAAACACACAATTAACAGAATGAAACCTCAGGAAAAAAAAGATGGAAACAACACCTATAGGATCACAGATGCACACCATTGATAGTGTCCCTCAACTGTGTGTGAGTTAAATGTTTCTCTACTTCCCTGATTTTGTATAAGTCCTCTTTTTTCCCCCCTTAACGAGAACATGCCCTAAAATGCAATACAGCAGTCTAATTTCTCACTCAAAGATCTAACACAAGTTTAAATCATATACCTATGAGCTTATTCAAATTTGTCCTCAGAAATATCATTTCAAGGGAAAGCCATGACTAGCTCCAATTGCAAATTTGATAACCAACACTCCAAGATCTAACGAAATACAGTAGCTGCAATTACCCTAGCCATTTAACTACAAGAAACAGGGCAATCCACCCAGAATGATACTTTCTGTTCCTCGTCTATGAAACTATTTGGAATTGCAGAATTTCTAAACATATGTATTTAAAACCAAATATAGAAAGAATCTAAGTACACCCAACTTCAGGACATTAAACACACAAAGAACCATGTTTGATAGTTTTGATGTTGATTGGGTTCATCAAGAGGATTTTTGAGTTTCAAGGACTCCCAATGACATGACTTAGCAGTGCAAGTCTTTGAGCAGAGTCCCAATAGCTTGCTGTTACTAATGACTATCAATCTTGATCTGTGCTTCAATTTATCATTCCAAGCTTAGCCTCGGAATGCTGCCTAACTAGAAAATAAGCCAGCATCTAACAAACCAGATTGATTGTTATTTACAGTCTAACAAGCCATAAAAACTTAGTAACTGACTGCTTATACTCAATGCCAATTCAACAGGCAACAGGTCACTAGTACATTTCATGGCAACAAATCCATCATTCTGCCAACATCAATCTTTTAGAAAAGTAGAATAGCATTTTCCAGATGTAATGACAAACCTTTCGGGTAGATACAAGAATGGAAAAGAACACAAACTTAGAGCATGATAACTCTCAGCCAAAATAGCAACTCATACTAATTATAAACGTTTCAATGATTACACGTATATTATACCCAGAAAAGGAAAACGCTTCAACATGAAAATTAAAGACCGCCATTTCTTGAAAGGTTTCAGCTTTCAAACAGTTAGTGAAAGGCAAAAATCAGACTAACTAACCTGGTAGTAAGAGAAAGTCTGTCTCCAAAGAGCACTCGCAAACACAAGAAGGACATGATGCCTGAGCTGTTGACTTCTCCTTCAAACGCCAGAACAGAGTTGGACCAACAATGTAACCAACCAGACACACACAAACAAAAGCAAAACCAAACCTTAAAACACCCTGACACCAAAACCTTTGCTCAGAACTATGAGCCATTCTATACAAATCCTACCCTTGAAGAATTTAAAGGAGAGAGAGAGAGAGAGAGAGAGAAAACAGCTCTACTCAGACCATTTCAAGTTCTGGGGTCAAAATTGGAGTTTTAGACTTAAGCAACATCACTCAAGACTGTTTGTCCATGTACCCAAATTTTGCTAAAAATCCAAAGTACCCAGATTCAAAGATCTGCTTCACAGTGTAAGAAATTGGGCTAAGACTGTTAATCAAATTGAGGCTTCATCTTTAATGATGCAAAGTTATCTTACTCAAGTCAAAAGAACCAAAAAGGCTAGGGCAAATTACGCTTGGGTGTATGCCATGCAAGCAAATGAATGGCCGGTGGTTTTAACTAAAATTACTTCCGATTGGTGTAATATGTATAATTTATATACTTCCAATGTCATAGACATTTATCATGAAGACGAAAATATACTTACTTGCTCTTGTTTTTAACATACGAAAAAAAAATCAAAATTTAAATTGAACATTTACTTAATTGTATAGAGTTACAAGTCCAATTTAAGTCGATTTGTCTCAAAAAACCTAAATTGAGGTTGAAACTATTCTTTAATTGCATGGTCATCTTGAAATTATGATGATTATACATGTAGGATAGTATATAATATATATTGTACATTATAGCTAAATCACTTATACTTTCCATTGAAGTACTACATGCATTTTATTAGAATAATATGTACAATAGCTTATAATAATTAAAACATCCACAAAAAATACACATTTATATTATAAAATTAAATATTTATATTTAATGCATCGACAGCGTATCGAAGCTATACATTGTCAGCTCACCAAATGTTACCACCTCATTAATGAAGTAAAATTAAAAATTTTTAAGAACTTAAACTTAAATATTAAAAAGTTGTTAATAATTAATTAAATAAAAAAATATCATTTTTTTTCTCTCTCCAACTCCCCCATAATGTTATTTTATTTTTTTGCATTTTTTATCTCTCTCTCTAACTCCATCTTCTTCACCCCTTCTCCTTCTATTAAAATTACAAATTAAAATACTTCACTTTTTCCCAAACCTCTGTGACTTTTTTTTTTTTTAGTTCTTTCCTACTTATCCAAACTAAAATCTTATTGAATTCTTAAGAAAGTGTGTTGCTAAGACCCTAAGAGAGAGAAAGAGTAAAAAATTTGATGTGAAGATTTTCTTTTTGTTGAGAAAAAGAGAGAGAACAAAAGACTACTATCAGATGGGGTGGACAATTTGGCTGATTTAGCCACCAATTGTGATAAGGAATCTTTCCTTACATTGTGACTATGGGATAGTATTACTGTTGAAAAAATTGTAGAAATTTTTTTTCATAACTTCTGTTAGAATTTTAATTGGATATTAAATTGATCTTAGTAAATTACTTTTACCATTTTTATTGGTTACCACATTATAGCCCTAAATCAAATTAAAATTAAAACCTTAATGTATTTATTTGAAAAAAAAATTGATTATCACATTATAACCCTAAATCAATTGTAAAAATCACTAACAAATGTAAAAATTATCTTGAAGTCTCTTTGAACAATTATGCAAACTTAGTTTTAATGCTAGAAGAAGAATGGAGAAGAAGATAATCAAGTTAGAATAAAAAAAACAATTGATTATCACATTATAACCCTAAATCAAATGTAAAAATCATATAAAAACGTAAAAATTATCTCGAAATCTCTTGACGTTGAACAATTTTGTAAATTTAATTTTAATGCTAAAAGAAGAAGAAGGGGAGAAGAAGATAATCTAGTAAGGATAACAAAGAAGAGAACAATCAAAGAACATTGTGAGGGAGTTAGAGAGAATTTTTTTTTTGTTTTTCAGTTAATTAATTATTAGAAACTTTTTAATGTTTAAGTACTTAAAATTTTTAATTTTACCTAATTAATGAGGTGACAACGTTTGGTAAGCTAACTTATATACTGTCAGTGTATCAAATATTAATTTTAAAATTAAATCTATGAAATTATTATGTACATTATAACTAATTGTTATGCACATCTTATTATAAGAATATATATATATATATATATATATATATTATGCATAGTATCATAATAATATATACATTATCTTATGGTAATTGAAACGTCTACAAAATTTTTTCATCTATCTTAGACATAATAATCAAATGATATGTATTTTACTTTATAATTTACTTGTACCTATTTTTTGAAAGTTATTTTAGGTAATTCCAATTAATTGGTCATTTACACTAAAAATATTACCGTTACACATTTCAATAACTTTTTCTAATAACATTAATTTATTTTTATTTTATTGCACCGAATTTAAAAGCGGTTAACGAGACTGTTATTATAGGAAAAATTACAATTTGGGACAAAGGAATGAAAATAATTATCATTTACGTCATTGGGAAAAATAATTACTAAGATGGAAAAACAACTTTTCAAAATTAATATTTAATTAAGAAGGAAATCGCTCCCTATACAATTAAGTAAAAGTACATATTTTAATGCACAATATATTTACTCAAACCTCAGTACAAGATTAGGATGCACAAGTACTTATTAACTAATTTTATCCAATAAAAAAAAGTACATATTCTAATACAATTTACATACCAATACATTGAAATGTACATAAGATTACATTAGGATATACAAATACTACTTGGTCACTAATTTTATCCAATTAAAAAAATGTATACATTCTAATATAAAATGATTTATTAATACATTCGAATATACATATCATTAGATGGTACATATTCACTTAATTGTATAGAACTAGTTAATGAGTATTTATACATTCTATTATAATGATATGTAAATTAAGTTGAATTTATAAGAACATTCTTATATTAATTTTTGAATAGTTTATTTTTTAAATATTTTTTTCAGATTTATTTATCGGAGTTTTGGAGATTTTGTTATTCATATCTTTCTTCTTTCTCAATTATGCCAGGTAAATGACTGGAAAGAACATTGTTTTTGTTATAATGGTAATTGAGAGAGTTTTATAAAAGATTTATTTTAAAATTTATATAATAATAATAATAAAATTTTATAAATTTTTAATTATCTACTAAGTTTGATCTCATCTCAAAAATACTTATTCACCGGTGTTGAAAATCAAACTTTTTCTTATTGTCGTGAGTACACGCATTTTAAGGAGAAAGATTATTTAGACTAGCAAAGGGCCCGCACGTTGCAATAGGCAAAAGTATGATATTTCAAAACAAAAACTAAAAAAAAAAAAAAATCTTTGATTTATTTTTTCTTATCAATTTATTCCAAACCATAAGAATTTTAGATAATTAAAAAGAAAAAAGAAATAATTAAGGAGAGAGGAAACAAATAATAAAGGAGAAATAAGAAAAATAAGATTATGAATCATTTTATAATTTTTTCTGTTCTCTTTTCAACCTTTACAAAATTTGTACGTGCTTCGCTTTAACTTCTTAATTGCCCATTTTTTATTTATTTTTTCCTTCACCTAATCCCTTATTCTCTCATCTAGCTCTCTCTTTCATTCTCGTGTCTTTGTTTCTTTAATGTGAAAAAAATCAAAATAAAATAGGAGAAAATTTAGAAAATACCCTTAGTGTTGAAAAATAAAAGAAACAAAAAACGTCACCTACCAAGCGTTGGTTGAGCCAAATTTAAGCAGGCATGTCTTGCGTTCTAGTTTCATATAGTTATAAATAAATAAATGACATGAGGCCAAAAAAAAAGACTTTAAACTATTTTGAAAATTTTAAATAAATTTTTTTTCTTTTAATACATTTAATCAATCTTTTATATTTTTATTTTAATTTTAATAAATTTTTATAATTAATGATTATTTAATTATTTTTAATCAAAATATTATTTATTATTTTATACCATGTCGTATTGACATCATACATTAATATGGTATAATGAATGATGACATGATATACTAAAGTGACCATATAACAATTTTTGTTGTTATTCTGTTACGTTCAACCATTATAACCAATGATGAATTAATTGTAATTAGTTAAAATATTACTTATCATTTTAAATCATATGACATTGACGTAACATGCTGACATATCATAATAAATAATAACATAGCATATTGATATGACTATATCCATATAGACCACATCATAGTCATGTGAATATAAAACGATAAATAATAATTAATCAACTGTTAATTATAACAATCTATTTAACTTAGAATCAAAATATATAAACTTATTAAATAATTTTAAAAAAAATATTTATATTTTAAGAAATAATTCAAAATTTTATTATAATATTATACTTAAATAAATTGTACAGGGCAAAGATCCTTCCTTCATTGGTGTACCATGACAGTGCAGAAAGTATAATTATCTCTGCGCATACCTGCTCCAAGCGTCTACTTTTGTCCAACACAAGTGCTAAATCTTGTTGGACTCCACTTTCCTGCGAAACACTTTGCTGAGAAGGGAAGCCTAATTAACTCAAGACTCGAGTGCTGCCCGATTATTGATAGACAATGGGTCAAAACTCAACCAAAAAGGGGAAAACAAGAGGGATGACCCTCTATTTCCTTACATTGCCAAATCAAACGGAAAAGTTTTAGCAGGTATTTAAGAACTAAAGCTGACACTGGTGAGATTTGATTTCTCTGTTTAATTATTTACACTTACAATTTTTGCAAAGAGAGCCACAAAATCGCACCTAAAGGAAATACGAGCATCCAACCTAAGACAACAATTCAAAAGGGCACAGAAGATCAAGTACATCTTAGAAGGGAGAAGAAATTCAAACATTGTTTGTTGTTATCTAACAGTTGAAGCAACTGTATGAGCCCAAAACCTGAGATGATCTTTCATGTCCACTTCGTTACCCATTGTAGGAATTCTCCAATTCATCAATGGATTCTTTACCTTCCTTCGATCCCAAACCTCCCATGCTTCAGACAGGTAGGGCCTTGGAACCACAGTTTGACCAATATTTTCTTCTCTACTTTCTTCAGTTTTCTTTCCCAGTCTTTGCAACCCAGGAATTATAGACACTAAACTGGAATCTTTATCTTCCTCCGAGAACACAAAACCAAGATCCATAAACCCTTTTAGCTCCTCAAACTCTAGTTCTGACAAGCTCCTACTGCTACCCATTGTTCTTGTTTTGCTTCTTCTTTCAACCAATATAGGCTTAGCGGCTGCTTCCTTCATCTTTTCCTTCTGAACATCTGCATCATCTTCATTCACATCTTTCCCAGACAGAATAGTCTGAAGCCTTGGCGTGGTAAGCACTGAATTTGGAGACAGGGAACCAGAGGAAAAACTCATTGTGGCGTTCAAGGCCAGGTCACTCATAGACCTGACGTGAAGGGTCGATATGCGCGGAAGCTTTAGTTCCCTTTCTTCAACTTGCTCTTTATGATCTTGACTTGTTTCTTGCGATCTTGAAACTGGTTTCTTGGAGAAAATTGGTTGCTCAAACCAATAGACATCAAAAAGCTTCAGAACTTCCTCTGCGGCCATTTCCTCACTTTGTTGGGGGATTTTGAAAAGATCCAGGAGGTTCACAAGAGAGAGATCAGTTTTGGTTGGGATAGATAAGCGAAGAAAGGTTTGGGACACTTATTTTTGTTGCTTTACGTTAATGCCCCTTGTTTCATGCTAATATTTCGTAATTAGTTCATTTATATATGCTATCAAGAACATGTTTCTAAAATTTCAAAATGTATATCTTTAGGTTAGCCAACAACAAATTTTTTTTTGTAAAACTTAACTCCTCAACAAAGGATGATTACAAATCCAAATGCTTATTTTGTATTAGAAAAACTAAAGGAAAATTTCGTATCAAGTGTAATTCTTATGTATAAAATTTCGTGAACGTCTATAATTGATCATCTAAATTGAAGAATTACGATTCTCTCTAATTATATTATCTTATTCAAAATAAGTCAAATTTCTATTGAAAAGGAAAAGAAGTGATGGTGCCTAGAAAAATTTTAAAATGTAAATCACACTCCTTTTATCCAATAAAAATATCTAAGTTCAATTCTTTACGGTCAGACATTTTAAACTTTAATTTTAATTATTTTAAATATTTTATTAAAACCACATTTTTATCAAAATATGTTTGAAACCTCTTAAATCCAGACTTTTTAGTAAGTGTTTTCTATATTTTAATCAAGGGTAAGCTAGAAATAAGATGAAGTCAAAGTTGAAAAAATTTGAGGATCAAAATTCTTGATTTTTACATTAAAGCTTTTCTTGAATTAAAATTAATTTCATTTAGTTCATTCCTGAAAAGGATTTTAGAGTACATTTGGATAAAGAATTTCAACAAGATATTTTTTTTTGTAGAGAGAAATTCAAAATTTTAAAATAAAATTACCGTATTTGGTAAAATAATTATCAAAATTATTGAAATTTGGGATCAGAGGCTATTTATTGTATATGTTTTCTTTTGTTTTGTTACACAACTTTCATTTTCTTTAAATCTAATGAAAAAAAACTTTTTTTTAAATTATCAATTATATTTATACATTTCTTCCAAATCTAATAACACCCATAATTTATATTTTTTTTTACCATGTTTCTCCTTTCCTGGCCCTAAATTCCTATTTAATTTATAATTATGTTTTATCTCATCAGATTTCAATATTTAAAATTTAATTCCATAAAATACTTGTCCAAACAATGCAAATATTAATGCTGTCATTTTAAATTGATGCATTTAAACAGGTCTATATATATATATATATATTTCAATATTCTTCAAAATTTGAATATTTTTCATCCAAACACATCCTTAAGGTATAAATTAGTACCTAATTAGAACCAAAATCCTTAGAGAATATATATATATATATATATTTATGTACCCTTGCAATTCTCTTTCTCCTAAAACCATTTATTGATAAATAAGAAAAGCATCCAATTATATTTATTTACTTGATTCATTTAGCAAAAAACAATAAAGTACTTGATTTCAGAAGCTTCAAAACTAATAAGATAAAAATGCTTTTGTGTTTTTTTTTTTTCCATTGCAAATTGTAGCAACATCAAGGGTATTATCGTAATTATGGGAATAAGCACCTCGAATCCTCAAATGCTCATAAGTTGGAATGGGCCCAAACAAAATGCTTAAAGTCGGACGAATCAAACATAAATTTGGCATATTTGGGTGAGGTAAGACTTGTCCTTTCATACCAAAGTCGTCCCCACTATTCAACCATGACCTCAACCTCACCCTCCAAGCTTCTGCTCAACAAAAGCATAGTTAGATCTAAGGTTAGTTTTCTTTATTGAAAAACTAAAGAGAAAGAAATAAAGAAAAGGATGTAGGGCTTTTTTCCGAGGGACTCACGTAAATAACATTAAAACCCGTATAAAATTGGTCGGCTGGTAGGTTCATCTGACTAGGGCGACTTGGTGAACCCTTTTTAAAGAAAGAAACTGCTCGGCCTATTTTCACATATACAATTTGCAATTTGCATGTTTAATTGCCTTAAAAGTGGATCCCATTTATTTATAAAACAACAAAAAGAAAAAAAAAATCTTTTTTCATTTTTCTTAATTTTTTTCATCATCTCTTTTTTAATTTTTTTAACCTATATGTCTCTCATCTCTTTGTTTTATTTGAATGACAAAGCTGTATGTTTTAATTTCTTTTCTCTTACCAATTACTTTAATAATGTTGAGTGTTTCACTGTTTTGTATCTATGAAAAACTACAATCAGTTTACAAAAGGAAAACAGTTTATATTATTTTAATACTTTTCTTTTCAATTTAGTTTTTAGCAAGGGATTATTGCAAAAGAATTGGTAGTTGAATATGAGGAACATACCTATTTAAATAACTTTAAGAACATAAATTAGCTCAAACGCATTCAATTTTTAATTTTAATTATATGTTTAGTACACTTGCCATGGATTTGAGTGAATAATTAGATACTTTATGGATGATTCTTAACATCAAATGAGAAATGAAAACAAAAAACCCCAAACTCAATAATATAAATTGAAGTAGTTATAATATGGTTGATACTTTCTCAAATTGAAGAAATTGAGGAAAGTTAAGAATTCCTTTCATTGTCTTCGAAACCAAAGGAGGTGATGAAAGAGATTTAAAACTGTAATCATGAAGAAATATCCAAAAGCTAAAACCAAAACACAACCTCATTAAAAATGAATCCTATCAATGAAACCCTTCAAAATTTATGTTAGACATGTTAGCTCAATAATCATAAAAAAATAACCAAAAGGAAGGAAGGTGGTGAATTGGATTTCTAAAAAGTCTTTTCAATGAATCGAACTTTGAGCTTGATGACAGGTTTTCAAATTTGTTTTCACTTTAAAACAAACCAAAGGAAACAAACAATCAAGTAGAAAATAAATTTTCGAAACTCTTTAAGAAGAAAGTGTACAAATATAACAAAGTAAATCAAAAGTGATTTAAAGTGTAAGTTAGAAAACAAGTTTAAAAGCAAATATTCAAATTTGTTCACAATAAAGGAAGATGCACAAGTAAGAAAGTGAAAGGTGAGTGAGCTTGTGGTTTCAAAAACTTATACAAGATAAAAAAAAAAATAGTTCAAATAGTAAGACGAAGGAAGATAATACACAAAGCATTTATATAGGTTCGATCCTTTTGATAGGCACTTACATTCTCTGCCTTGGCTCTTTAAGGACTTTGCAATCCACTCTAGAAACCTACCTTTTAAAGGATCAAGCATAACCCTTTCAAATCACTACTTTTTATGGATCAAGCATAACTCTTGCCTTTTCAAGAGGATCAAGCATAACCTCACATACTGCCCTTTCAAAAAGATTAAGCATAACCTCACACACTACCTTTTAAAGGTTAAGGCATAGCCTTTCTACTTTTCTAGGCTCAAGCATAACCTATATATTACTCCTTTTGAAGGATCAAGAATAACCTTTCTCTTTTATAGGCTTAGAGCAAATATACCTTTAGAAGGTCGATTTTGCTATGTAGGTACATGGAGAAAGAGTTTAGAGGAGCTATAAAATGATTACACAATATTTGAGCAAAAGCACAAGGAATTAAATTAGAAGGATAGCTCACTAGCTTTTTGGAAGCATATGAATGGCTTGCTCTAGCTTGGTTTTTCTTTTTCTTTCTTTCTTTCTTCTTCTTCTTCATCTCATTTGAGTTTTGATCAAATGATCTTTCTCTCTTCTCTTTCTTTTTCCAAAATGTGTTGGAGAAGTCTTTTTTATACTTAGAAAAAGTTTATAGCTATTGTGGATGACTTGATGGGAGAATTAGCTATTTTTCTTGTCTTGTTCGTGTTTAACGACTAGTTTCTGGAGCTGGAGAATCCATTTTTTCTTCTTGAGAAATTGATTCTTCTTGGTCTGGAGCATTTTGTTTTCTAGGAATCAACCTTTTCATTCTTGAATCGTTGATTTTTCTTCATCCTAGATTTTGAGAATTGATCTTTTGTTTTTCCAAAAATCGATTCTTCTTGTACTATGGGCATCAAATTCAAAATTCAAAATTGTTTTTGCCCACTCCATCTTCATCCGTTCTCCTTTTTTTTTTCTTCTTCTTTTTCAAGTTTTTGATTTTTCTCTTTTTGCAACTTTAGGAATTGATCGCTTGAGGCTTGAGAAGTCGATTCTTGTTCTTGTGCTAGCTTTTGTTTCTTCAAGAATCGATGTTTCCTTCTCTAGGAGTTGATTCCTTTACCATGAACTTGAGATTCCAAGTATTCAAAGATTTTTCCTTTCACAAAATAACTTCAAGCACAAGTTCAAATGTCGTTCAAAAGGAACCATTAAGCATTTCAAAAGCATTCAAGGATTACTTAAAAAAGAAATTTTGATCATTATTGTCATTTCAAAACATTAATCATTTTTAAGAGTGGAGTTAACAATTTGTTTCTTATCTAGAAACATATCCCATCATCAAGAAGTCAACTCACAGTTTAAAAAAAACTCACAATCATCTATCTGTTGGGTGAGGGCTGATCATGTATTAAATACAAATAAAACGTAATAAAAATAAATATAAAATTAAATTATACCTCACCTTTCTAAGATCTTTTTTATGTCAAATTGATTATAGAATTAAATTAAAAATAAAATATATATGATCATATCAAGTTTACCTAAATAACAAAGGTTGATGAATCTTTTGTTAAACCACCAATTAGCCTTCATAAAGCTCAGCTACCTCAACCTGGTTGTTGCAAATTAAAGCTGCCAAAGCAATCCTTGTGCAGCCTCTAATAGTGATCCACACTAATAAATTAGAAAATTTTTCTTTAAGGATTGGGAGTGTTATGTCTTGACAATGTGCTAGCAAAGATGAGTTTCATAAACTCATAATCCATACAAAATTTTGGGGCTGAACACACAAAAAAAATTAAGTGAATGAAAAACCATTTTTCTTCACCTAAGAACGGCAAGACAAAAAGAATTTTTAATGTGCCGTTCTTTTTTTTTCAACCGTTTTCTCTCATTTTATTTGGAGGCTATAGCAAGGTATTTATACTTTGGATTAATTTTAAACCCTAATTACAAAACTATTTTGTAATTACCAATTAATCTAATAATTTAAATAAATAATTTAATTAAGCTTTAAGAAGTCCAATTAACTTAACTGTTTAATTTAATCAATTAAGCCTAATAACTTAATTAAATAATGTAATTAATTAAGTCCAATAATTTAATTAAATAATTTTAATCAATTAGGCCCAATGACTTCATTGAACAAATTTAATTAA